GCTCAGTCTGAGTCTTTGATGATTAGGGTTCTTAGATTATCATATATATCCAATTCACTTCTTTTTTTCAGGTCTTTGTTGTAAGAGGGATGGCATGAAACATCTGACTGTTCTGCCATATTGACCCCCTCCCTATGTCCTTTATTTTTTTTAATTGTATTTTAGATAAGGTTTATAGAGCAAATTAGTTTCTCATTAAACAATTAATACACGTATTGTTTGTGATGTCCTTTTAATTGACCTTTCTATGATAATGGAAGTGGGTGATGCAAGTGGTTTGCAATTGGCTGCTAACCTAAAGGTTGGCGGTTTGGACCCATCCAGCGGCTCTGTGAAAGAAAGGCCTAGCAAACTGCTTCTGTAGAGATTACAGCCAAGAAAACTCTATGGAGGAGTTCTACTCTGCAACACATGGGGTCACCATGAGTCTAAATTTACTCACTGGCAATGGGTATCATTATGAAATGACCTTCTTTTATTAATATAGCCACTTCATCTTTCTTATAATTAGTGTTACCATGTTAAGTCTTCCTTCTTTTTACTTTTAACCTACATGTCTGTATGTAAAATGTGTTTCTCATAGGCAGCATATAGTTTTGTCTTTTTTTTTTTTATCCAATCCAATAATTTCTGCCTTTTAATTGGGGGTGTTTAGACTATTTACATTTAATGTGATTATCAGTATGGTTAGGTTTGAGTCTGTCACCTTCTAATTATCTCATCTGTTATTTATACCACCTTTACTCTTTCTCCTTTTGTTGGATGAACTGATTTGGATGAACTGATTTGATTTTTTTTTATGATTCTATTTCATCTCTTTTGTTGTGTTATTAGTAACTTTTTTGTTATTTAGTGGTTGCTTAGTTTGTTGTATATATGTTTAACTTATCACATTCTACCTTCAGATGATATTATACCACTTCACATATGGTATAAGAAACTTACAATAGTATACTTACATTTTTCCCTCTCCTGGCCTTTATGCTATTGTTGTCATACATTTCACTTATACATATGTTATAAACCCCACACTAAATTTTTTTTTGTTTAAACTAGTTATCTTTAATGAGATTTAAATAAGAAAAAAAAATCTTATTCATTTGCCTCTGTAGTTACCATTACTGGTATTCCTTATTCCTTTATGTAGATTCATATTTTCACCTGGTATCGTATTTTTCTGCCTGAAAGACTTCCTTTACTGTTTCTTGTAGTGCAGGTCTGCGGTGATTATTTCTTTCAACTCTTGTATGTCTGAAAAAGTCTGTATATATCACCTTCATTTGTTAAAGGTATTTTTCCTGGATCTAGAATTCTAGGTTTATGAGTTGTTTTTTTTAAGTTCTTAAATATTTTGCTCCATTGTTTTCTGGCTTGCATCACTCCCAACAAGAAATCTGCTGTTATCATTAGTTTTTTGTTTTGTTTTAGATTGTTTTTCCCTCTGTTTATAATATGTCTTTTTTCTCTGGCTGCTTTTTACTTCCTCTTTATTACTGGTTTTGAACTATGAATTATAATGTGTCTTGGTTAGTTTTATTCATGTTTCTTGTGTTTTGCGTTCATTGAGCTTCTTGGATCTCTGTGTTTATAGTTTTCATCAAATTTGGAAACATTTTAGCCACACATTCTTCAAATATATTTTCTGTTCCTTTCTCTCTTCTCATTTGGGAACTCCAGTTATAGATATATTAGGATGCTTGAAGTTGTCCAAGAGCTCACTGATGCTCTTTTCATTTTTTTTTTTTAAGTTTTTTTTTTTTTCTGCATTTTCATTTTGGGTAATTTTTGTTGTTATATCTTCAGATTTACTAGTTTTTTTCTTCTGCCATTAATCTCATCCAATGTATTTTTCATCATCTCTAGGAATTCAATTTAGGTCTTTAAAAAAAAAGAAAATCTCTGTCTCTTCCATGTACTTAACTTTTTGTACATGAGAAATACTGTTTTTAATGCCCTTGTCTGCTAGTTCTAATTTCTGTGTCTAATATCAATACCTCTTCTCAGTAATTTATTTATTTTTTGTAATTATAGATCATATTTTTCTGCTTTTTTGTATGCCTGGTAATCTTTGATTGGATGTCAGACATTGGAAATTTTACCTTGTTGGATGCTGGATATTTTTATATTCCTATAAATATTTTTGAGCTTTGTTCTGGGACACAGCTACCTGTTTGATCCTTTACCTGTTTGATCCTTTTAGATCTTGCTTTTAAAAATGGTTTGCCAGAATCAGAGCAGCATTTAGTCTAGGGATAATTGTTCCCTACTGCCGAGGCAAGATCTTTTTGAGTTATTGTTGTTGTTAGGTGCTGTCAAGTTGGTTCCGACTCATAGCGACCCTATGCACAAGAGAATTCTACCCAATACCCCAAGAATTATGAGGTTCTCCCGTCTATTTGGGAACAGGTGCAGTTCAGGGCCCTGTCTAATTTTGAGATACTGTTGCCTCTAATCCTTTCTGGTGTTCTTTTTTTTCCCTTGGCCTCGGGTAGTTTTATCACATGCATGTACTGATCAATACTTTGTTGAATGCTCAAGGAGGACCCTCAGCAGGTCTCTGGAATTTTCTTTCTTTGTAACTCTCTCCTTTTCCTGTGTGCTGCCCTGTGAACTCTAGACACCTTGGTGTCTCCAGCACCCCAGCTCTGTCTCCTCCACTCAGGGAGTCTGTCTGGCTTCACCTGGATTCTCCCTTCCTGTGCTGTGGCCTGGAATCTCTCTCATGGCAGTAAGCTGGGCTAATCATGGGGCTCATATCATTTGTTTCCCATCTCTTGGGAATTATTGTCCTTCATGGCTTTTTGTTGTTGTCTCCAGTGAGACTGTAAATTGGACTGTAAATTGAGCTGTTATTCCATCCTGTTTGGAAGTGGAAATCTCAAAATTAGTGGATTATTGTCCATTTACATATTTAATTTCACATTTAGTTTAAGAAAAAAAAATACAGTTTAAGCATTTATGAATAAGCCAGTTTCTAAACATGCTTGCTATGTTTTAAGTTTATGAAGCTCTGAAATGGAGGAAGGGAGTGAGAGCCACAGGAAATAAGAGAGAGTAAAACCTCTCTCCTTCCTCTGAAGCTTTCTGTTTTGATTTTTGGTAGATCGCCACTACACTCCTTTATCAACCAAAGCCCCTTTGTACCTTTTGGAGAGAGACTCTTTAAATAAGTTCTATAAGTATGCCACTCAAAGTACATGGAAGATTAGTTATCAATAAGATTGTCATGGAACAATGTTTTAATCTAAATCATTAAAACTTTGACAGTCACTTATTGTAGAAGAAACATAATAAGGGGATTTAGCTTAGGAGATATTAAAATGTATTTTAAAGTGTCATACCAGGGTTCGAGGTCACCAACAAAAGACAAACCACGTGCTATACTAATGCATGGAATAACAATTTACTCACAGAAAGGAGAGACAGAGCAAGATCAGCTTCACTTGTGGGCACTGGTCTCCTATGGCCAGTGAGTCCCACCTTGCAGCCAGTGCAAGGCATTTTCTCCACACACACTGCCCTGTGCGACAGAGAGAGACCCCATTCCCTCCCTGCTAGGAACAGATACAGAAGTCTGGTTGGCCAGGTGCCATATGGTGCCCACGCATGAACAAGAGACAAAGTTATTGTGTGCCCATAACAGAGAGGAAGGCTTCTCTGATAAGGAGGAGGGTCTGGGAGAGAGAGAGAGAGACCCAGTTCCCAGCCTCTTTATCAGAGAATGTTCCAGATGGGAGATATAGAGGCAGACCATCCTCCCAACATAAAGATATAGTAATTAAAATATTGAGGTACAGATGCTTATACAGACATGGATTGTTGCCATTGTTAGGTGCCACCAAGTCAATTTCGACACATAGCGACCCCATGTGACAGAGTAGAACTGCCCGCATAGAGTTTTCTAGGCTGTAATCTTAACGGCAGCTGATTGGCAGGTCTTTTCGCCAGCAGAGCCGCTGGTTGGAACTGCCAGCCTTTTGGTTAGCAGCTGAGTGCTTAGCTATTGCACCACCAGGGCTTCTTCAGACACAGATTAGTGAATCACAATTGAATGTCCATAGACATGCTCATACATGCATTTTATATATTTAGCATAAAGGTGACATTTTAATGATAGCGTATTTAGTAACCCCAGTACAACTGGTCAACTCATTGAAAAAATATTGAAGTTAGATCTCCTCTCTGTGTATTACTACATTACTAGATATATTCTAGATAGGTTAAAGATATAACATAAAAGTATTAGAAGAAAATATAGGTAATTCATAATCTTGAAGGCCTTTCTGAGTATGACACAAAGAATACAGCCATAAACAAACAGATGGATATGATTACACAAAGATTTTATTTCTTCTATATGGCAAGAAATCATAAACAGAATTGATATAAAGACTCCTCCTACAGTAGTGAAACAAAGATGAACACCCAACTGGAAAAATGGGCAAAGGACATGATTAGGTAATCACAGTTAGGGGCAAAATTATAAATGACCGATAAACATTTATTTTTAAAAATGTTCTACTCCATAGTAGTAGTAATAATAAAAACAATAATGCTAGTAACAGTAGCTCTGATTTATTATATGTTCCTATTTGCCTGATTGTGTTAGGAGCTTTCAACAGACCAGCTAATTGAATCCTTTGAAAGGCAAGTATATTGTTATTATTTTATAAATGTGGCAACTGAGACGGGGATTTAGGAACTTGCCCAAGGTGACAAAGCCATCAAATGGTTGAAACATGATCCAGGCCATCTGACTCTAGAGGTCTGCTCTTCATCACTTCTCAAAAAGCTAAACTAAAAAGGCCTGAAATCTTCCTGTGAGTTACAGAGAAATTGGTAATTTGCTCAAGATCACACAGCTTTTAAGTGTTAGAACTGAGTTAAATGTTTTAGAAAGAAAAGTCATATAAGTAGAAGAAAGGAAACTGGGTAAAGTAAATAAGATGAGCAACAAAGCAAGTGTCTTTTAGTTTTACAAATTCACCATTTCTTTTCAGAATATTTGAAAGATGCTTCAAAGAAGATGAAAAATGGGCTTATGTTTGTAAAACTGGTTAACCCATGTTCAGGTAAGTTTCTTCTCTCCCTCCGCTCCTTTCCTGTCCTCTAGTCTTCTCTCCTCTCCCTCCCCTCCATTTCCCTTCCCCCAGTAATGATAACTTGAATGTTTTTTGAACACTGAGACTGATAAGTGTATGTACTTATTTCACTTTGCGTCTCTATTCTTCTGGAATAGCTTTTAAAGTTAAAATGGCATCATGAGGTGAAAAAAAAACAAGCTGAAGACATTACTTGTCTTCCCAGATAATTCATTCAATTTAAACAGCTTTTTATTTTTTTCTTATAATTGTAATCCACAGGACTGTTCATTCATTTCACATGCAGGCAAAACAAAAAAGTAGCAAGTTTCATTTCTCTCTTAAAACAGATTAATTTTCTTTGGTTTTCTTAAGCCAACTTTTCTTAGTTATTCCACATTAGATTTCATTTATATTCATTTTATGTTACAAAGTAAAGTAAACAACCAGAATTTTTTTAAAAAGAAGGCTTTTACTTGACATACCAAAATTTTGAGTAGTTTCATTTTTAGCTGTACTTTCCTTATTTCATTCTGTCTAATAAGTGTATTTTTCCTTGTCGGGATTTTTTAAATTTATTAAAAACATTATATATTGAAGAGATGCATATTTTATTAGAAATAATTTTGTTTAATTTTATATTCAGTGCATATTCTGTTTTCTTCCTTTTTTAAGACAAAAATATTAAAATATACTATAAATATACAGTGAATTTGGTGATATTATTTATCTTTTTTCTTATTAATTTATAAAGTTTTGAGATTTTTCAAATCAGAGCATTCTCCTAGCGACTATAACACTGAATAGGAAAAGTAAGTGAAAGCCATTGGGCTGTGCCTCTGTTGTTGCTGAAGAGACAAAAAAGCAACAAGAGGAAAAACATCCTGACTCCCTCCAGTGTTCATTTCCTCCAGATGAAATTGAATGTCATTGGTCGGTGTCTTAGTCACCCAGTGCTGCTGTAACAGAAACACCACAAGTGGATGGCTTTAGCAAAGAGAAGTTTATTTCTTCACAGTAAAGTAGGCTAAAGTCCAAATTCAGGGCATCAGCTCAAGTGGAAGCTTTTCTCTCTCTATTGGCCGTCTCACCAATCTTCCCCCAGACTAGGAGCTTCTCCTCACAGGGACGTTGGGTCCAAAGGACACTCTCTGCTCCCGGCACTGCTTTCTTGGTGGTATGAGGTCCCCAGCTCTCGGCTTGCTTCCCTTGCCTTTTATCTCTTGTAAGATAAAAGGTGGTGCAGGCCACACCCCAGGGAAACTCCCTTTAAATTGGATCAGGGATGTGACCTTAGTAAGGGTGTTACAATCCCACCCTAATCCTCTTTAACATAAAATTACAGTCACAAAATGGAGGAGAACCACACAATACCGGGAATCATGGCCCAGCTAAATTGATACACACATTTTGGGGGGGACATAATTCAATCCATAACAGTCGGCTGTATTATTTGGAACACCTAGTTATACACATAAGACTAAGGCGAGGTGAGAAATATTTCTTCAAGAGAAGTTTTAGTTAGCAGTAAAGGTTTTAAGGAGCCCTGGTGGTGCAGTGGCTAAGAGCTCAGCTGCTAACCAAAAGGCTGGCAGTTCGAATCCACCAGCCACTCCTTGGAAACTCTACAGGGCAGTTCTCCTCTGCCCTATAGGGTTGCTATGAGTCAGAATTGACTCGATGGCAACAGGTTTAAAGGTTTGAAAACATTTAACAACATTACAGATATAAAAAAAGAGTCAACCCTCTTATAAAATTTGTTTTATCTTAATGTCTGTGGACAATAGAGGAGGAAATGTTTTTATTTGCTACATTGACAATGGAAAAATAAAGGCTATCATTTGCTGAGCACTTACTAGGTGCCAAGTACTGTTTAGGAACTTTACTATGTATTCTGTCTTTTTAGTCTTTATTATAAAAACCCTGAGAGGCAGGTTCAGTAATGCCCTCATTTTACAGCGGTGGAAATAGAGGCACAGAAAAGTTACATAACTTCCCCCAGGGCACTTGGCCAACATATGGTGGAGGTGGACTCACATTCAGGCACATTGACTCCAGAGATTGCACTGTGCTTAGAACAACATTTCATGAATTGGAGGAATAAAACACACAGATGTGCATGGTCCACTCCCTACCCCACCCCATTTTTTTTTTTTTTAAGAAAGAAAGGGAACTCCATCCAGTTGAATGCTTTACTCTCTTGAAGCATGTTGCCAGGGCCCTTGCCATTCTGACGTGGAGCTGGTCTGTGGGCTGGTCCCCTCTCTGGGTCTGTGTGTCAGGGGAGCCACGGGCTGCTCCATTAGATGTTGACAGTGCAGGAACGGATTCCCCTCCTGCTTTGATGAAAGTTCAGTGAGAGGCTTTGGACAGTTAAGATAAATGATCTGTGTGTTTTTATTTGTTGGTTTAAGTCCAGTGGAGTCTATAGAGCTGGGAAACAAGGATCTGTATGTAATAGCTGTAAGCTTTCCTTGGAGTCAGTTTGTAGAGAATGTATCTATGTATGTTTATGTTCCTAGTAGGAACATTCCTCAGAGCTGTTGGATAGTCTTTTGATTTTTTTCTTTTTTTAATGTGAAAACTTGCAAATAAAAAACAGGTTTGTCTTAACAGGGGAAGGAGCCATTTACTTGTTTGATATGTGCCTACAACAGCTGTTTGAAATAAAAGTTTTCAAGGAGAAACACCGTTCTTGGTTCATAAATCAATCAGTTCAGTCAGGTGAGTGATGTGGTGTATGTATTTCCAGCAGCTGAGCGCGTGCTCCGGCTCGTCCATCCTTCACACAGGCCTGCCAGCCTCGGTTTGAGTCTGGTCCAAGGTTTTGCCTTCCTTGGCACCATAGCAAGGTTTAATTACTCAAGGAGAAGGGGAAGGTGATTGGAGCAGGTTTAGGTCAATACCTGTGTGTCTTAGATGGTAGGAAATTCAAACTAATAACTCTGATTTGTCTCCTAAAGTGCTGACAGTGGCTCAGTCAGAAGTTAGATCACCCTTTGCAGCACAGGGTGCACATCCTGTCACCTGGAACTTCTTTGCTTTTCCTCTTGGCCACTCTTGAGGACTTTTGCTTACTTTCCTAGTGCTGATAGGACAGAAATACCACAAGTGGGTGGCTTTGACGAACAGAAATCTATTTTCTAACAGTTCAGGAGGTGAGAAGTCCAAATTCAGGGCAGCAGCTCTAGGGGAAGACCCTCTCTCTTTCGGCTCTTGGGAAAGATCCTTGTCTCAGCCTCTGTCACCTCAGTGTTCCTCGGTTCCTTGGTGATCTCCACGTGGCATCTTCTCCCCTTTTGTGCTTGCTTCTGTGTTGCTCCTTATGTCGCCTAGCAGTGATTAGGTTTAGGATACACCCTATACTGATAGAGTTTTTTTCTTTATGTTAATAAGGCCCTATTTCCAAATAGGATTACATCCACATTTATAGAGGTTAGGATTCCAATACGTATTTTGCCAGGGCACAGTTCAATCAATAACAACCCTAAAGTTTTTTTTTTTTTTTTTCTATTGTACTTCAGGTGAAGGCTTACAGAACAAATAGTTTCTCATGAAACAGAAGTACACATGTTGTTTTATGACATTGGTTAACAACCCCACGACATATCAACCCTCTAACTTCTCAACCTTTTTTTTTT